GAATGACAAAATTTTGATTCCATTTATAAAAAAATAGGAATGCAACAATTAGAGAATTTTGGACACAGCTGTTTATTACATGTCTTAAACTTTCGGTAGAGACCTTACGGCTCATACAACCTTAAGACGCGTGTTCAAACTTTTGTATAAAAATTGATGATTAAACGTAGATTGTAAGATTGTGGAAAATCAGTCAATCAAAACATGCGCATAAAGAAAGTTTGATGAAGACAAGATCGATCAAAAATCAAGAAATGTATCATTATAGAAAAATTGAAGTCTACGTTTAATTCTATGTTAAGAGACACAGAGAGAGAAAAAGAGAGAGAGAGAGAGAGAGAGAAAGACGAGCGGTGGCCCAATTAGTAGGATGAGTTAAAAGAGGAGTTCTATTTACAGGGTGGATCGATATAGACGTGTGCCCGTGATTAGAGCCCGTTCGTTCTTCGGTTTGCGTTAACCCAGACACCGTAAGATTCCTATGATGTGATGAGAGCCGCCGTATAAGGGTTACAACCGGTGTTTAAAGTCACCAGCGGCTTTCACCAATTTAAAGTCGGATTACGACCCGCCTCGACTTCTAATCGCTGCCTATGCCTACACGCCATCAATCGCGCACGTAGATACAATCGATCTCTCCGTGATTCTAGCTACTTCAATCGCTTTTGTCCCTTAATCGTCAAGACAGTATATAATCGCAAACTGAGCCCAAGTCTGTTGCAACAGTAATTGTAGAAAAACGTTTCGAAAAGGAGTTCAGATTTTGTCTCTGAAGAAATGTCGACGTAAAACTATCCTTTTACGAAATAGTAAGCAAATTTGAAGAACTGTACGAAACTTTGAGATCGTTTATCCTTCTTTTCAAGAAAACGGTATTCGTGGTTTAATGTGTTGTACACCGTGGAATACCGCTACAGCGCGTTAACCTTCTGAAGGTAGAACGAAGGTGTGCCACACCCCCGTTTCTCTCTGTTTCTCTGCACGAAACGCTAGACGTACGTACTCTTACGTACAGCCGCAACAATGGCCTCCGCAGATGGAAGATTGCACGGAAAGGTGCAACGTTCACGTGCAAAGGTCGTCACGGTTGAATCGGGTAAACGAGGATAATGTCGCGAGCCCGACTATCATAAGTGGGTTTTATTGCAAATGAAAAAGAAGGCTTGCCGCATCGCGCTAGAACGGATAGGAACGCGAATCAGTCGAATCCCCGCGTGCAATCACGAGATTATTGTTTAAATTATCCTGTTCTCTGCATTTCTTTTTTAACGGTACCAGTAAGCTTCATCGAGCATTCATCCTGTATTGTAGTTGAAATTACAGTCCGCAGGCGAGGACAAGTCCTACTGAAAACTGCACGAAACCAATTACAAGAACGTATACAAATGTGAAACGAACACGTTATTCCATAAATTGCGAATCTGCATTTTTATAACGGTTCGAGCAGAGTTTACTAAGCATACAGCTTGGCTCTGTATAATCCTGTATATAAAAATTACAGATCGCAGGCGAGGACAAGTTCTATTAAAAAAATTACAGGAATGGTATAAAAAAATGTAAAACTATTCTAGAAATTGCGAACATAGAACCGGAAGCGGTCGAAGGATATTGATGATTCGAATAAGGCTCGAACGAATTCCCCCTCGGCACGGAATCGATTTTCATCAACTAGTGCGCGATCGTTAATCGTGGGCATAATTATATCGTTACCACGCGCGATTCGACGGACGTTCGTTGGGAAAACGTTACGGCGATTTGTTCACGTTGAATAATACTCAAGGTACCGTTGTATTATAAAGAACGATCCCATCCAATTACGCGTCTTATTTTAATTTAACGTTGATTCCTCCCCCGGCTACCCGCCCTCCTACCCGCTCCTTGTTCATAGATATGTGTTATTATAAGTACATGCATTTTCTCTCACACGCTATTCTCCTAGTTGATACGAGCCTAATCCTTAGACGAAAACGAAGACCGTTTTTAAACCAATTCCAAGGTTACCATGGAAGCGAAATGTTTAATAATCCTCGACAGGATGACGATTTAATTAATTAACTAATTAAGCGGATAATACTCAAAACAGGCCTGCACGGTGCCTGACGGAAAGCGACGGGCCAAGCTTACGTTTTATATCATTTACGATTACGATAGATGTATAATTTTCTTTTTAATTATATTAATTAATTGCAGTGAAGAGAGACTATGTGTATATATAGGAAACCGTACGTGTTGGCCTATCCAGTACAAAAACCAGATCGTTATAATTATTATTATTATATAGATCACAGATTAATTGTGTTATGTGAATAATTACATTTTATGTTGTTAACGAAGTCGTAATATATATATAAATATATATATATAAACATGTTTCTATACATATACAGATATGCAGATATATGTACGAATTTATATTACTTGTATACATGGACATATATGTATGCATATAATTTTAACACAGCTCTCTCTCTCTCTCTCTCTCTTTTATTTCTCTCTTTAGCCTATCGCTCATGAAATCTCTGTTTCTTACCTTTTCTACTTGTTCGCTCTCGCCATGCAGCCGGAGAAGACTACTTGTAGATGATCGTGTTTTTCTCTTATTTTGTTTTGTACTTAAAGCGTGCTCGTGCAAGCGCGCGACCTCGAACTATGTTTTGTACCACAAGAAGAATGGCAATAAAGTAGTTGACCAATTCCTTTTTTTAACTGACTGTATGCAAATTCTGTTCAGCCACTTCGTCCTCACACACTTCCAGACACCCTCTGTAATACCAATCGTAAAATCGAATTTTCAAATTAATTTTCACTGGCCAGACGAGCAATAAAGAAAGAAATATATGAATAGACATTTCAAGATAAATATTAAATGCATAAGAAATATAACTGATACGCAAATAAATTCAGTAACGAATAGTAATGACTATAATGTACTAATAAACGTACTACACGGCTACTTGAAAATATCACGGAAACGGCAACTTTCGTTTGCTGAAGAAATTAATTGAAATTCTTCGAACATTTCTTGTCGCTCGTTTCTTTTACAAGTCGAAATACTATTATAAATTAGCTTATTACGCGTGTGCTAGAAAATATGTATCTTCTTGCTCGTTCTCTCTCGAGGAAAAAGTGGAAAACGTCAGAAGAACCGCGTTACAGTTTAAAGTAAGCCGGCACCTGGTATTTCTACCCATCCAGCAAAAAGTTGCACAAAATTGCGAAAGTTGCACATTTAAAATTTTCTGAGTAATTAGTATTTAAGAGTAGCGAATTTTATGCACCTGCAGAAAACTCAAGTGTGCAATTTCAAGAATAAAGGAAATTCCCATCTATATTTCTACTGCAAATATTTCATTTTGCATAAAAATCCGCAGTTTAGTAATTAAGAATATAAAAGTCGGTTTGCCTGTAAGGAAGAATGAGCTGATTGGTAATGTAATTAAAGTGGTCCATTTATTACAAGCAGGAAACTGGATATCAGAGATATAGTGGTTTCCGAGACTTATATGTATACTTATAATATATTACATATTTAAATAATACTTTAAATTATACATCGTTTTGCTAACAATCAACGTACAGAAAAGGGGCAAGAAAAATAAATATTTCTACAAAATACAAATTTGCGAAATGAAGAATCGATTGAATAAATAGCAATGTCTCGTGGAATCGAAGGTATCCTGAAAGTAGTCGAATAAACATAGTCAGAGTGTTCGTAAAAAATATATTATTAAATTTCCCATCAAGTACGAATAAATTCCACATAATTAAGAAAGCACACGTATATGTGATATATATCTCATTTAATATATTAACAAGCGTTTGTAGTCACACTCCGTACCTTCAGCGAAAGATTCGCTGTATGTGTAATAATTTTCAAAATAATTTGTTCACCGATATAAACGAGTAGTAGAGTGTTAATGACGATTGAGATTGATCAAATCCGTCGGTCAAGTATGCTAAAAAGTCCTTAGATTCATACGTGACGTTTGTGTTCCCTAAGTTAACAAATTCGTTAAACAAACTAGTTTCTGGTCTCACCATCTCGCATCCACTTTTAATAAAAAATATTCTTCGTTCTTTCACCTCTCTCATGTCATTTCGTAAGGCTCGATCGTCACGGAACATGGGAAGCCATACATATTTATACTTTTCATAAACTCCCCAAGATGAAAACAATGTTTAATTAATCTATTAAGCGATAATCACACAAGATTGAGTTAGAATTTACAATATATCAATTTAAACAGAATCATGTGATCATAATTAGGTGCAACAATTTTATAAAATGTTTTATTACATATTTTACGTGTATAGAATAAATACTTTCCAAATAGATTCATATTTATACTCGTAGAACAATGGTGACCACCTCGGTGTCCCGCATAAATTAATTCCGAGACCTTTACGGACATATACTGTACGAACTGAAATTATTGTTTTATTTTTTTTTAAGAAAAAGATGTTCCTTCGTTACACGAAAATAGTATTGTCGAAGCACGAGCCTTACTAAAGGATATCGATTAGAAATACATCGAGGAATCTGGCGTAGGATTAACTATTCCGGAAAAAAGCTATCCAAGAGAAAACGCCACCATTATTTACTGTTTCATCAGTTTGCATGTTTTCTTTTTCTTAGTGCGAAAATAAAGAAGAAAAGAAACAGGATAGTACGCAAAAACATTCAAAGTACGTATTCAACCATATATTATATTATGCGTTATAAAAATGCTATGGTGCAAATAAGTTCGATAAAGTAAGGAAATCAATTGCCATCTTCTTGAGTAACATGACCCAGATTAAATGCTTATTAAAGAAATCCTGCACCTTCTCTCAAATCAAATGAAAAATGTCACATATTAAAAACCAACGCAATATCATTTTCTTTCATCGAATACAAATTGACCAACAGATAAAAATTAAAAGAACATATACCATTGATTATTTTGACGGACCTATAACATCGATTTTAGTTAGAACGTTCTGTGTAGTCTTTTCATTACTGAAAAATCATTCGACTCGTTGTACCGCATCGATACCCGCACACCCCGTCGCTCTTTTCTGTGATCATCTTTGAAATAGACGAATCGATTACACGACACGCATATTAGCTCCCAATTAATTAGCAACATGTAGTGGAAAGTGATAGTGACTTTAGCGATAGAGCTGATACATCGAGCCCGGCACGGGACCGTCGCGTCGCGCGTCAGCATGTTACGCAGAGAAGAGGCAGAGAAATCGACGTATGCAGATTTTTCGAGGGAACTCTAAGACAGAAGTTTGTCCTCGGGAATGGTGGGGCTGGTCGCCGCCGGTGCCGAGCGTAACGACTCGTTTTCCCGTAACACGTCGTCGAAACTCTGCATCGAGCTAGATCTTGAAGGCACAACTTTCGTCTGCAACAATAACGAACAATCTTTCAAATCTTCTACCGCCTTTGGCTACTTAAACTCGAAGCAGTTACAAGAAGCTCCTGATATGCGTCACCTTCTGTTAGTCCACTAACTTCATTCATTTATACAATCATTTTATCAACTTTTTCTATTGAATATTGTATCAATCTTTATTAGGATAAATAGCATTACGATTCACAGATATGCAAAAAGTCTATAATACCAATTGGATTTTTATCTGGTCGTTCGTGTATCATTAAAATAATGAATGATCAGGCAATTATCTTGGATAAGAGGGAAAGCTAAGGAGTATTCATAGCCACCTTCATATTTTCGTAAGCGGATCCGACTCGTTCCTCCAATGAACGAAAACTGTCCGAATTGCGCATCTGTCCAATTTTCATGGACAGGCCACTTCCGAAACCACCGAGGATGCTGCTGGTCTTCTCAGCCGTGGTCTTAAATACGGACTCCGTCTTCTGGAATCTGCGATAGGAAACGATAAATATTCATCATTCCTTTTCTCTTGCCGCGTCCAGACAAGGTCGCGTTGTCCGTGGTCACTGATGTCTTTGTTCGATAATGAACCAAGCCGGTGGTCACTCCATGCACCTTACCCACTCACAGACACTCATTTGTATATATACACAATCAAGTACACAGACATTAGTAGACTGAGGATTTTTAAATCTTTTCGATATCCATTTCAAAAACGAATTTCCTTCGCTCTTGACGAATATTAATTGGTATCATATGTTCGATGTTCATATTTTTCCACGTTACAAGCAATCATTATATTTCCTGTATATCCAGTTTTATATAAAATCCCCAGTCTAGGAGTTAGTCACTCGTATTGTTACATAAAAGCTCGTGTTTCGATCTGTTATTTTTACGCAAGCTGCCAATGGAAAATATGTTTCGTCGCAGGTCGAGGTCGATGATGTATCGGTTTTCTATCCATAATGCTATGCTAATCGCGGTCTGTGATTTGTTATCTATCGCCTCGATCATTCGAGTTTCTGTGATTCGCAGCGTGATTAATTGAACAGCCACAAGCGTAGCGCGGTGTTAAAAACGTGAACAAATTGATCCAAAATTTCTCTTGATTAATTATTATACACTTCGTTCCAACAATAATTAATATGTCGTATCACATGTAACGATCTTGTAGATAGATGGTATTAAGTGTATTAAGAAGAAATGTTGGATCCGTGGCATTAACACGATTGCTTGTGTACTTACAACGTGTTCTCGGTGACCGCTTTGCTGAACTGACCGAGTTTCTCGCCGACGTTCTGATAACTGAATGAGAACCCAACCAAAAGTAAAAGAAAAGTGTTCTACATGTCTGAGGGGCAGAGGTAGCAGAAAATAAACGAGAGGGGACGGGAGACTCCGTTAAACCGTCACCTTACGCAAAATTGCAAATGTCAAAAAGTATATACAACGAAAGAAGGTGTTCTTCTTTGTGCATGCGTTTTTAACTTTCGATATTCGTCGCATAAATTAATATAACGAAAAGTAAAATGGCTCCAAACGAGCATTGTACTTACGCTGGGTAAAAAAAAGTGAATTATAGTTAATACTAACAAGAATGTGTCTCTGGCAATAAGCTTTTGCTCTAGCTTAAACCGCAATTGTTCGCGTGTGGCATACGTAACTGTACACGAAATCTCGGGTATCAACAGTGTGTCGTAACGAGAATTAAATCATTAACATGTCTCTTTGTCCATAATTAAAAATCTGCAATCACATTAAACAAGACACTTTTTGATTCTCAATTTCCTGTAAACGGGTATGTATTTGAAACTTTGAATAGCTGGCGAATCGATCATGCTGTTGAGAACACGACAGCACTGGTGAAACCCGGCAAATACTCCGTTCGTGCAAGATGAGGATGAAATATATGGTAGGTATATATGTATGTATAAAATAAGTGCGTGCTCGTTGGGAGACGAATAGGAACGTACACTTGGCTCTCCTTAACGTTCTTCAAGCCCTGGTTCATGTCGTCGGTGATCTCCTTCCAAACGCTGATGCCGAGCTTCCTCTTCAACTCCTGAGAGACCCTGATCTTGTTCGCCAGTACGTGCCTCAGGGTCTGGATCTCTTCTTCCACCTACGACACGCGCCTTCTTCAATTTCCTCGCGAAAGTAATCTCGAACTTCTCCTCGCGTGCCAACTTTTTCCCGTTTTTTTACTTCAGATCCAATTCTTGTAAATGTAATGCGATTTTATTAACAGTTTTATACTCGCTTAACAGAATCCTTCGATGCCAATCAATAGTTCCAGAACCGAAAGGTTTGTAAAATTATAAATAATTCTTCCCATGCATTTGTAATTGGAGACCGAGGAGCACACTTCCGGTGCGAAAGGTTAATCGTTTGTTCATAAAAAATGATCAGTTGCTTGTAAAAAATTCACATGCTGGTGCAAAACGTAATCGATAACATAATGCATAATAGAATGAAACAATTAAAACACATCTGATTATGTTATAATAGAAAGATACAACCTGTAAATACATAATATAAAAGAAATGAGAAAGAATATATTTCTATTTGAGATCCTACAAAACCATTTATAACGCATGCTTTAAAAAAGGTACATAATTTAAAATAGCATCAGATTCCATATTATGAGAAATACTTAAAACCTAAAGATGCATATTTTAAATCGCATCATGAACATGCAAAAAGAGAAATCACCAACGATATACTTTGCTTTCAACCTGGAGTAGAAGTTTCAACGATAGAAAAAAAAGATAACGAACACGGCTGACGTAAAACTCGCCTTACAGAACTGAATACATACAGCAGAGGATTTTTCTGGAGCTACTACTGAATTTCTCGCGGGTCGTATTTCATAATTCCGTCTGTTCAATGTTTTTCTATGGAATAAAAAAGTGGTAACCACGTACTTTGGCGAGTTCCGCGTTCCATTCTGCCTTTTGACGATTTTGCTCTTCCAAGGAAAGTCCTTGCAGCTCGTTCACCACGTTATCTGACGTCGGCGAGATGTACCCGCTCGAGTGGAGGGTCGCATCCTCTCCTGCAACATAGAAATATATACGTTTCTTTAAACCGATTGAAAACATAAGAAATCAATTTAAGGTTGTATGAGCCCTTATATAAAAACATTGACAAAAATTCAAACATTTGCAAAACCGAATTTCGCCATACAAAAAAAATAACAGACCGCCGAATTACAATTTTCATAAAATAATTCTAACACCCTCGCGAATTAGATGCACCTTTTACCAATTCGAGGAACTTTTTATAATTCTGGCTATTGCTGATCTTGGCCAGGTATGGTTTCGAGAAGTCCTGAAATATCACCCTAACCGATCTCTTCTTTTTTTTCCCAGTTGCCGCGCTTGCCTCGGCGTCCGGGGTCAAAAATTGTGTCTCCACCGACAGATTCGCGTCGTCGACCACAATTTCATCTATCTCGCCGTTCGAATCTCGCCAGCAGTGGACGACGATCTCTTCAGCGTCGTCGCTCAATTCGTCGATATCGTCGAAACTGGGAGTCGCGGTCAGATTTGAGTAATAAACGTCCTCTTCGTATTCCAGTGATTCGAACTCGTGCTCGTTTTCACTCGGACAATCTTCCTCGCCGTGTTCCTCGCACACTCTCGATCTCGAGCCCTTTTTTGCTGATTCATGTTGATCGCCGACGATTTCTCCTTGTTTGATATCCGGCATATCGAATATTTTTATCAAAACTGTGACTTTAGTTGAGAAAATTAAAGGAACAGTCGACGACTGTTGTAAAATTGTAGATAATTATTCAGTTGAAGTTCGATGTTGCGTTTCAGAAACTTCTCTAGCATGATGAAATTGTAGAATTGTTCTTTATGTAAGAATATTGCAATGAATTGCTCTTTCTACGTATGACAAGTTTTATTACAAAATTTGAATAATAAAGAGATACGATGCAGTGCTGCTCGTTTCATAATCCGCCGAGATTTCAAGTTACAAGTTTAACTAACTAGAAGACGTATAACAAATGCTTTGAACGTGTTACATTAAGATTAACGTAACAAACACATCAGTGTTCGAGGGCTACGTGTCTCTCCTTCTTGTCTACCGGTGGAACAAGTTTCCTGGCAGAAACCGTTGGTGTTACCGCTTCAGTTCCACTGAAATACGACCAAAACGGATGTAACTGGTCTTCCTTAGATTACGAGCGTGGATCCAGCGGTCCTCGACGTATGACTCCTTCAAAATCACTGGTTTCACTTTCTCACTGAAATCAGTCATGCGTGTCACTGATAAACAATCCCGAAAACAAGTCCGTTTTTTTTTAAGTTGAACAGAGAATTTCGAACAATTTTCTCAAAGAGGCTAAGGAGACGGTTCACGGGGACTCCGGATCGGGATCTATACGGCCACGTGTATCGATCGGCGCGTGCACAACGATCACAGCTGGCGTGGGCGCGATCGAGGAGATCGAGCTGGTTACCGATTTTAACCGAGAAGCGACGCCAGCATCGTGCCGCCACGTACCCTAGGAGAAAAGAAATCGCAGCCAGCCGTTCGTTCCACCTTCGCAAAGGTGAACGAGGTAGGGGCCCACAGTCCCCACCAACTTCTTCTTCAAGTCCCTCTTTCTATATCAAACTCTGTTACACACGCCGCGTATTATAATTCCCAAATCAACAACAATTGTCACTTCTTAAATGACGAAGTGATACATTCAATGATACACAGGTGTTGAATAAATTTTTTAAATAAATATTAAAAATGTTTTATTTTGTATAAAATTCAGCAGTCTACTTATTGGACATAATTGTCAATTATTTTTAATTATGAATATCAGAAGATAAGTATTACTGTCCCTGTTTATTGATTTCTGTTCCCTTGTCACGTAATATCGCATAACTCGATTCGAATTCAATGGTCACGCTCACAGTTCAGCTATTAATATACATACAGCTCCTTCGATTTCATGGCCCAAAGTGGAAGCCTGGTAACCGTAGAAGATCTGGACGAGAAGTAAAAAAATGAATTATGTTCTTATAAAGGATTTTGTCGTGCGGAACGTAATCCTCATGGGTTCGTCGACTCCGCTGGATATCGAATTTCCTTTGATATGAAAAATGTGAATGAAAAGTAATACTTACCAAGAGCTGATCGTACTTTTTCAATTATATAACACTTTTTATCGTGGCACCGACAAGTGAAAGCCAAGCCAGATTTCTTTTTCAAATCTAATATTTCATATGATGTTTCTTATTGATTATGATTAATGTACAAATATATTTTTGCTGGATCATTTAATAATATAAAGAAAACCTTAGTACACTATTGAGCTAATCAGTTGTGTATTGAGTCATAAAAACTACAGGATCAGGTCTGGTTTACTCTAATAGGGTCTCGAAAATTTTCGCTAGCCCACTTGCAATGCGTTTTTCCTAGCGTTCGAACGTCTTCCAAGTCGTTAAAATAAAAGATAGTAAAGTTATATACATCATGTTTCCAATGATTTTTACTTGGACTACGTATTTCTAATAGAGGATGACAGATGAACGACAAATATACTTTTGATATCTCTCTAGGAAAAATATTTCATAGACGGTAATCCATGTGGGAACCGGTTCATCCGCTTTTTTCGGTTCGCTAAAGTTCTAAGACCCTACATCAGTAACAGGAACTCCAAGGTTAGCAGCTGTCTGTCGTAATAATCCATGGGATGAAATGACCGATCGTTTGGACACAAAAATTCCTTTGCAATTCCGTAATCCTACAATTATTTTGCTACGGATATCGACCCGTGGTAGCGATCAAACATGTCAATGTCCTATGATTCATCGTTCAACCTTCATCGATTCTTTCTGTCAGTTCGACATATTTCTTACAAATTACTTTCTTACTATATATCACTCGAGCAATTTTATACAGGGAGAGATATTCAATACTAATTTATTTATTTTCAACAAATCAGATGATGATGATGATGACTCTATTTTAATATTGAAAAATAATAAAAACTGTCTGAATATGAATTAGACCTCATTTCTACGGAATAACAAATTAATGATCTTACAGTCCCTTCGGTTCGTCCTTGTACATGCGATGAAGGAATTAGGTATAAGGAGGCGAGTTCAGGTAAAGATCGATAAACCTGGCTTGTCTAAGTAAGTGTACAGAAGCCAAACTCCAGCAAGTGAACTTTCTGAACGTTCTAAAGTTTCGCTATGCGCGTTGTCGATATACGATTACGTTTAATAAACTGTTCGCCACGTAAATTTCGCTTGACAAAGCCTGTGTGAAAGTGAAACGAGAAAAATGATTAAAACTAAGAATTAGAAAGACTGTACTTTCTAAGCAAGAAGATGTCTTCTGATGTTATGATAAATAAATGAATAAATTGATATTTCAACACACAAAAGTTGCTATAGAATTATTTTACTCCTCTTACTTTCTGTACAACTTCGTGCTACTCTCCCTTTATCTTTTATGCAATTTTCATGTATACATACGAGATTAAAAAATAAGTACAAAACATTTGCACGTCCTATATTTGTTCAAAAAATTTTGGGGACAGACTGCTGAAATACATAAGAGATGAAACTTTGGAACTTGTAAATTACAAATTAAAGTCTTATCTATTTTCTATCTGTTTCAATGAATCTTTATTCATCGAAATGAATTATGTATTTCTTCCAGGAAATGCAATATGTATTTTCAGAGAGGAATTCTAACGATTCTTGAAATTAAACGGGGGACGAGGGACATCCTCTATTATAAGTGATCAATATTCAATAATTTATTCATTGCCAGGGACAAGGAAGCAATAAAGGTGTTATTAGCAAGACGAAAGGGCAGTGATAGAACGTGCTAGAGAGAAGCAAACAAGAAGTGAGATATCAAACGAAAATCAACGTTACGCTTGTTACTGACACAATCTGCTTTGCCTTTAATTAATTTTCACTGACATTACTTAGACTTTTACCTCCTTTATATTCTTGCATTTATTCTCTATTTAAGCAGACATTTAAATAAAATAAAGGATACAGAGATATCTCAATGTTGCAAAAAGTACTAGAATATTAAATTAAATTGAAATATGTATACTAATTTTCATTGAATAACAAGTAAATACTTATAGTTAATCATGAAAGTTATACCGTTACTTCGTATGGAATTGTATTTCATGGTCTAATAATACCTGATAAACACAGTTCACGTAAAACCAAGTCGGAATTCAACTCAAGCTTCTAACTGAAAAAATTCCACGAGTATCTTGCACATAGAAATAGAAGATACTTAAACATGGATTGAAATCCATCCACCAAGGATGAATTAATTTACTGCCGATACTTGCAACCAACTGAACGCAAGAGAACTTCTGATACTTTCTCCTCGAGATTGCCTATTGGAGAACGAACAAATTATTCTTTGAAACGCGATGACTCATTTCCCGATATTACTAATACCTTTCTAAGCCTAGATATCTACAAGTTCAAAAAATATACAGAGTATTTAAAAATGAAAATAGTACTTTTAAATGAACATAAATTATATCAACGATCAGATAATAGTCATATTATGTGTTTAACCATTGCTCGCTGCTTTCGAGTGCTACAAGTGCAAATATTATCAACGAATTATGTCACATCATTATCAGTCTTATCGTTAGTACGCGGAATTGCAATGACGATTCAGAGCCTTCCTATCAATCTAATATAATTAAAGCAGAAATAATAGTCTTTCTACGAAGAAGAGAGCTTATTCATTTCAGAACGAGCTCAAATTGTTTGATTGAAGCCAAGTGTTTCATGCAAATCAATCAACGCGATACTTGCGACAACAGTGGACGAGAAATATTTGCATTGAAAATAAGAAACCCGTTAAAATAAACGGGAAAGTTACGTGAACGAGGATGGTGGGACGTGGGAGATGAAATACGCGGGTGTAGGAAGTGCGGGCAATCGTTCGGAATAGAATGCAGAAAGAGGCTTGACTAAGAATTTCAACCTTCCATGTCTGCCTAATCGTTATGTAGGTCGCGTCGTATGGTGCATAAATTCTTAATGCCATTAGAAATACATATCTATCAATAGTCATTCGCAATTAATATTATAATAGTGTCTAATATTTATAGCATTAATTATATAATACGCGATAACTTATACTGTAACTGGCAGAGAGTTAAGCCTAGTATAAGCAGCTCCGTTCAATTCTAAATGAACGTATAAATATTATACTTACTGTTAAGAAATTAATTAAGAATACTGAAGATATTAAGTGCACTGATAATAGTAAAACAATGCAGGTAAAGTAGAAATATTAAGAATATAATGTACAGTATGTATCCGGACTAAACGATCAAACTGCACCATTATGTTCTACGAGTAAAAATAAGAAAAAAGTATTGTATAAACATTGACCTGCTAATGCTTTATAAAAAAAGTTATAATGAAGAAAATTAACCTAAAGTCAATAGCGAGTTTCTTGTTAGTACATGGAAATGTAACAATAAGGCGACGGTATTTACATATGTATAAAACCTGCTGCTTCTAGCTATGTTTACTATTTGACATAGTCGAACGCGATAACGCAGAGATCGAATTATTTAAATGTCTGTACTGTTATAACGAGTGTGAGAATTAGTATCAGTCCCGAAACGTTAGTACGCGGCAAAAACTAATAGAAAGGATTAATAGTGAACACTGAACATTCACTAAATTAAAGTAAGACTAAAATGAAATTCGAAGAGTGATAAATTCAGTTTCCCTGGATTTATTCACATTTTTCTGTGCAGAAATCGGTGGCTACATGAGATATAAACGGCAGTAGTAGCTGCACATACGTAAATGTGTAAAAAGGATTATGTATATGTACAAAACAGGGAGATAATAATTTTCGTGATAAAACGTAACGAGGCGTGATACATGGTATCAAGCGACCTTTACCTATCACCACTTATAAATCGTTATCTCTTATACTCGTTCTGTGATACATGCTGCTTACATATAAATATATTCTATTAGACACCTTTCATTCAATGATCGCAATACCAAATCATTCATCAAAAATGTAACAATTCAAATGATTGAAAAGTAGTAGAACAAAATTATTCAACGTGTTTTAATTATTTTATAAATCTTAGCAAAGTAGTAAACGTACGTTGTAAAGTGTAAATAATTTGTATAAAAATATGATTCAATAAATAGTAATCGGAGAGTGTATTCACCTTATTTCAAGGGTCGAGCAAGCTGGCGAATTCTAATTGAGCTAACGTAATTAACGCACGCTAACGAGAATAACACCGGCAAAACGTGCGATTGTATATGTAATCGGAGAGGTTAGGACAACAATCGCCCGACTAATGTAAAATCGCTGTCTACCGCAAATACGTCATTGACATTGACGATCTACGACGAAGTTGCGAACAATTTGCGTACACGCGATACGCAAAATCCAAAACTGAAACCGGTCTTACGAAAAATAAAAACGCAAAAATCTGGAAAGATATTTGACGATGTACCATTACCTTTTCACTCTAATTCTCGTGCGACATCGCAATTATGCGATACTGATCCTTGTTTCGCGAAGAGATACGTGTCACAATTTTAACGGCTGGAAACGCGAATAGTCGTGGGAATAAAATCGGAGCAGGTTAGACCGCCGCAAGTACGACACTTGCGTTGTGTCTATGACACTTTCATTGAGAGTGTATGACGAATAAATTTACATATCGCGCCGAAAATACGGAACACATTATTGCAGAATAAAGATAAAAAGTTGTAATAGGAAAAGTGGCGTCAATGGTCTCTCACCTGTTGGTACGTTGCTCATTTCGTTGATTCGATGTGCTCGCACTGGTTGACTTTCTTGCCCCCTTACCTCGCGACGAAAACACACCACTCGCGTTTAATCAACGGGACAATGATAAGCGCACGTTTTTCTGCGAGAACTTTCGAAACGAATCCCGCGACTTGTTCACCGTTACCGAAGTGAGATCGATTCCTCCTGACTCACTTCTGAGGGACGGTACCGTGGCCATATTGAAATTAAAAACGACTGACTGGTGGTGACACCGTGCGACCATCTTCGAACTAATATTCGCGCAAAGTTAAATTAAAATTTGCGGCGGTACGTTCTCATGATAATAGATTAGATACAATCTTAAAAGCGTTTACGATAGATTTCATTAAAACAGGCTTATTTATATGGAAAACAATCTAGCGTTCAGTACATTACACTATACATTCGAATAATAAAAGGTACTTGTCTTTCTTTACAACATTTATTTCTAATATCTATTTATCTATGTACAGATACATACACTTGTCAATGCAACGTAAATACAATTATATTCTGCTATGCAAAAGTCCGATGGAGTACTCCTTCTAAATATGCTATTGGCATTTTATTTAATGAATCTCTATGCATCTTAATGTTTACTAATGAATAATGTTCTTTGATGGGTCGAAATGATCATCGAAGTCGTGGGAAATGTTTTTTTTTTATTGTGCAGAGATCAATTCCTATATGTGTACAATCTATATGTAATATTCTTCGTTTTATAATACTGTCAGTTTACTAAATGATGTGTGCTGCGATGTACAGGTAGATTATTTTACTCATGTTTATTAATATGATCTTGTCCTATGCATAATAAAAATGCAATGATTGACTTCGAATGAAAATCAATTCAGTGTGCATTAATTATTATCACATTATATTTTTAACATATTCTGTTCAAAATGTCAATGAATATTTATATTTTAATGGCGTTCCAAAATAATAGCTACAATTTCCTGCAATAATTCTATCGTAAATAAAGTTGAACAAACTCG